AAAAGAGGAAAATAGCAAAACCCGAACCCGACCCGAACCCGACCCGAGATAACCGGGTACCCGGTTGCCGGGTACCCGGTTATTTCGGGTCGGGATCGGGTAATTTTTTTTTTGCAAAAAACCCGAATAACCCGACCCGAATAACCCGAATAACCCGACCCGACCCGAATGCCCACCCCTAGATATTAGGAGAAAACTTCTCTTATAGCGAAAAACATCTGGAGTTAAAATTTCAAAAATATATTTACAATTTCAAAAATATTATACTATTATTACGTAAAATATATTTCTCTAAGTTCAATTCTTGCATCAATGTATCATCTCATTAATCAGTTGAGCTAAACCTTGTAAAATAATACTCTGATAAATTTATTATTATACATGTTAAATCTTTGTATTTGGATTTGTCCACCCAATTATTATTATTCAGATAGTTTTTCTTTTTTTTTCGATTGGTTATATTAGAAAAATGGATTGGGGCACAATGGAATATATCTTCTATTAAAAGTTTCGAAAATAAATCCGAAAAGACAAACAACATGAACTTGAAGAATTTTATCAGAATTTATATAGCATTCTTTTATTATACTTGATACAAAAGACAAACAAAACAAACATACATAAATTAATCATTCATATATTCCAATTTATTATCTATCCCATTTTGTATTTCAATCTTCGGCTGCATAACATGTTACGCACCTTAGATTGTAACTAATAAAAATGGAATCACACAACATCAAACCCTAATACATATTATTACCGTAGATCTATCTATTACCTGGTGATCAATGCTTCACCAGCTAAATTTATTACCGTAGATCTACATTCTACACATACTCAGACATATATTAAGGGTAGGCCTCGATCACGGAAACGACGGTTTTGATGTTTACGACGTTGTGCCTACTAAAGCCAGCCTCTTCAAGAAGATATGCCCATTCTTTGTAAGTCCTCTCCTTTCCCTTCACCGTAACCGACATCATAACCATATCCAACAATAAACGAGCACCCGCGTACTCGTCTCCCTCTCCATCTTCGTCTATCACGGCTTCCACAATCATTACTTTTCCGGTATCTTTCGGAACCGCGTCTTTGCATTTCTTCAGGATGTCTATGCACGCTTCGTCGCTCCAGTCGTGCAATATCCACTATATATTATATTACCATGCATGCATCAAAAGGAAAACAAATATCGGAATGAATAATTGATTTATATCAACATAAAAATATCGAATTTGTTTGGATAATTATATCTATCCCTCTATGAATCTTCTTATATATCCACTCTTGTGGTGTCAAATTCAACATAATCATCTAGATTCCGTGTAATATTCTCTAGTTTGTACTCGTTTTGTGCAAAAATATAGTTTTGATGCACCACAATCTGATATATACAAGCCAAAAAGCACATCTTATGATCATCTTCCTTCAAAATGTGGAGCCCGATTGGGATAAAACGGGTACAAAATTGAGAATATTTCATATAATCTAGAAAATTCCACTAAATTTGAAACCGTAAGGGTGGAGGTGTAAGAAGATTAATAGTTGACGGGGTGGTAGTAATTACTGAAACATAAGTGTTTTTTCGTAATTCCTATTTTTAATACTAGATAATGATTTAATTTGTTAAACGTACGTGTTGATTTTAAAAATGAAAAAGAAAAATGTTAAAAGCACGTGTGAAATTAAATGGGCTAAATACAGTTTGCACCCTTAAAGTATAGGGGTGGTAACACTTACCCCCTTAAAGTTACAAATGTAACACTTACCCCCCTCATTAATGAATTTAAAGGTAAAACTTTGACTTTGAATGATGTGGCATTTTTTCTTCCCAAATTATACTTCTAGCCATTATATAAATAATGAATATGTAATAATAAAAAATTCGGCAACTTTGCAAAAACTTAATTTTATTATTTCAATATTGAAAATTTACGAATGAAAAAAATTGAATTTTAGTTTCATTTTTGTTTTATCTTGTGTTCATTTGTAGCTAATAAAAAGTTAACAATTATTCGAATTTTAATAATAATTTTATAGTTTATATATAGTTATATTAATGCGTATATGACTCTAATATAATCATCCGACTTTTTACTTTGAGAATCACAAAATGTATTCAAAAGTTAATAAGAAATTATAATTTAAACGTCTAAATATTTAAATATGTTTTTATTGAAATTTGTATTTAAGTAACTGAAATAAATTTTCAAATCAATAATTATTATAAAACAAATTGGACGTTTAAGTCTTGAAATTATTTTTTTCTTGCAAATGTTTAACGTATTTTAAATATTTTTTTTAAAATATTGAGATTTTTATTTATATTAGGGTCTATAGTAATTAAAATGTGGGGTTAAACATAAATCAAAATATTTTTTTAATAATTATTACATTTTATAAAATTTAGTTTTTGAAATATTATTGAAAATATATTATTATATATGAATTAATATAATAGCTAGAAGGACAATTTGGGGAGAAAAAATGCCACATCATTCAAAGTCAAAGTTTAACATTAAATTCATTAATGAGGGGGGCAAGTGTTACATTTGTAATTTTAAGGGGTAAGTGTTACCAGCCCTATACTTTAAGGGTGCAAACTGTATTTAGCCCAAATTAAATCATGATTACGTACCATGAGCATAACAGCGTCGGCGTTGGGTACCTTTTCAAACATGCTCCCTCCGACGAAGTGGACCCCACCACGCGGCGGAGCGTCGGCCACAACCTCCGGCAGATCCAAAACAGTCCCACTAACCCAAGGAAATGCCTTGACCAGTATGCTCAGTGCCATTCCATGGCGGCCGCCCACATCCACCAAAGATTCGATTCCTTCAAAACCCGCCGGAAAGTTATCGACCATCGCCTGAGTTGCCACCCTAGCGTGGGCCTCCATGGAATCCGTGAACAGCTTCACGTGGTTCCCGTGAGCCGGGTCTGCCCACGTGTCCTCCTCTTTCACGGGCTTCACATCCGGCCGTTTTCCGGTTCTCAGAGCCGCCGGAGTTATGCCGCAGTTGGACCCCGTCGGCATATCCTGCAGCAGCATGAACGCCGCCAGGTTTTCCCTCGTCATGAGTCCGGAGAGCGGCGTCGGAGCGTAGTAGTGGACCTCGCCGGAGACTTCGCCATGCGGCGGCGGAGCTTTCTTGAAGATGCCGTTGACGATCAAGAACCGCATGATGCGGTGGAGGGATTCAGTGGGGACGCCCACAGAGGATGATAGCTCGGGGAGGGAGATTGGGCCGCCATGCTTTTCTACAATGTCCGGGATTTCGAGCTCGACGGCGGTTTTCACGACTCTCAGGTTGATATAACCGAAAGCGTAATTCCACACTTGTGCTCGAGCCCGCGCTTCTTTCTCGTCGAACCCCATCTTTTGAATGTGCATGCAACAATGCTTATATCACTAGCTACTTGTGGTTTTGCTTTCGATATATATACGTGTATATATATATATGTGCATGATTGTACGTAAATGAAATGTGAAAAATAACTCCGATAAATTTATCGGGTGCATGTATAATCACGGGTCGTTGAATCAGGATTTATCTCTTGGGCAGGGACGCATGCATATTCAACATGGTGAATTAAAATTTATCGCGAGTTCGGAGGGAGCGCCCCAAATATCTATTCATGGATAAAAAGAAACACAAATAAGTAATTATTTATGCATTAATTAAATAAAATAATTCATAATATTGTATGTCAAAATAGTATAATTATTAGAACACCTTAAAATAAGAGATTGTGTAATGTCCGAAAACTTAGCATTGAGAAGATGTAATTTGTCAAAGAACAAATATTTTCATATTTTATCTTGATTTATTTTTATTGTAGGTTTTAATAAAGATTATAGTGAAAACATATTTTATACGATTAATTATCAAAATCAAATTAAAAAGGTATTAATAATAATTTATTTTTTTAATTGGGGCCAATACATAAGCTTTTTTAAATAATAATAAACAACACACTATATATATAAATATATATAGAGAAAAGTTTGCATCGTTATAGCTCAATTGGTTTCTGAGGTGGTAAGTTGGTACAAGATTCTAGGATTAAATCTTTGCCAGCTAAAGTGTAAAAATTTCAACTTCAATGAGGGTTCGTTCCTTTTAAAACATATGAGGGCCATAAGACGAGGAATTTCGACTTTTGATCCAAATATATATAAGGATTGAAAAGAACAATTGGGCCCCATTATGTTTTGGTAAATGAAATGTTATTTACGGTCACAAAATTGCTATTTGCGGTTTTTCATAAAACCCCCAAAACTTTTAAAAAAATCGAAAACCCCCCCAAAACTGCAAATAGCAAAAAAGAAAAAAAAATCGAAAATGAAATCAAGCTTGAAGAAGGGTTGGGCTTCGATTTTTTGATGTAATTTCGACTCTTTTATGTGTAATATGCATTGGGTAGGTCGACTACGGAACCAATTTCATGTTAAAAAACCCTACAAATCGATTTGTAGGGCTTTTTAATTTCGCAAAAAAATGTTCGAACGCCCAAGATGGGCGCCCAAGGCGTGTACGAACGCCCGGAAGGCGTTCGTTTAGAAAAAAAAAAAAAAATAGCACTGGACGCCCAACTCGGGCGCCCAAATGCAGTTTGCACGCCCAACTTGGGCGTGCACTGCATGAATGGGCGCCCAAGTTGGGCTTTTACGCGTTTTGGGAGGGGGGGTCTGAATTTTTTTTGAAAGTTTTGGGATTTTAGAGAGATATAATATTTTTTTGGGGGGTTTTGTTATAAACTGCAAATAGCAATTTTCAAACCGCGAATATCAATTCCGGATAACAAAAATTGGTAGGTGAATTAATTAATATTTTTTTGTTCACTTCCCACCTACCTTATTATGATTATTTCATAAAAAATGTTGTTCAATTAAAACGTGGTTGTTTTGAACAAATGTTTTGAATAAATTAATTAAGTGTAGTCTCTGTCTATAGCTATTTATCACAAAAAAAGTGTATGTCTATAGCTCTACGGCGCTTGCTGTTGTTCTAATTTATTTTGCAGATTTTTTTTGGCTGATTGTGACACTTACCGTATTGTCGGCAGATAATTTAGAAAATGATTATAAAATTGTATTTGTTGGCACCAGAATTCACCGATAAAGAAATCCGGTACATTTGGAAAGTAAAGATTGACAAAGATTTGTTCCCATGTTTATTTTGGAAATTTAGAGACCTACCTTTGTAATACTTTGGAACTTAGATTTATTTTTTTGTACTCTACTCTAGTTACGAATCTTTTATAGTTATCTAAATTAAAATTAGATATTGATTAGGATTTTGTTTCCTAGTTGTTCGATTCTTTGCGAACAAGATAGGTCTTTGGAGGCCGACTTCGCCTCTATACAAGTCTCCTCGACTCACAAAGACGGTGACATTTTTTGGGAGAAGAATCACTTCATAGCTTTGAAGAAATTGCTGAAACATTCTGCTAGACGGAACTGTGTCATCATTGCATGGTGTCAACATATACAGATCTGTTGTATAGATCTCAAGGGAGATCAACCGCGCCACTGAAGGGAGTACAGGTCTGAAAGAAGTTCTAGGCACGCGGTGTAGAGCTGCTGTACATGTTGGAAGAAACATGGGGTTCAAGTTGTGTACAAGAACGGCATAAAGAATTAATGAGGGAGTCTTAATTAGTCCTATTAATGTACACTGTAAATCTGAACTAATGAATTCGTGTTTGCAGGTCCACGTGGATGTAGGGCACAATTGTGTCTGAAGTCTGAACCACATTAAATTCTTGTGTTTGTTTACTCGCTTTCAGTAGTTTATAACTGTGTTAACTGTTAACACAAGAATTGTAGTTGTAACTGAATATTGTTCCCACAGCAACTATTACAACTTAGGTTAAAAGATTTTCATAGGCATATAAATCTTCAATTGGCATCAGGAGCCTCTCACGAGATATACATAATGTGTGATTTTGGGATTATGAGTTCTCATATGGAAGGAGGTTCCACCACTCGCCCACCACTGCTTACGGGAACCACTACTCCTATTGGAATACCAAGATTGAGATGTACATAAAATCAATGGATGAAGACGCGTGGCGCACAGTGTTGCCACAGATGAAAAAAGAATTGAAACTGAGAAGCATAAGAAAGACTGGAGTAAAGCCGAACAGATTGCAGCAAATATGAATTCCAAAGCATTGAATGCAATATTCAATGAAATTGATATCAATCAATTCAAGATAATCTCTGCAAGTGAGTGTGCTAAAGAAGCATGGGAAAAACTCCAAACAGCCTATGAGGGTGCTTCAGTTGGATTATCCAAACTCTAGTTTAGTTTAATTTTACTGTGTTTAACAGTAATATAGTTAATTTTACTGTCAACACAGCAATATTGCTGTTTAAACGAAAAAAAAGGTTACAGAAAGAACGAAAAGAAGAAAAAAAATCGAAAAAGTCAACGCCGGAAACCGGCGAAAAAATCCGGAAGAATTTTTTTTTTTGAAAAGTCAACGCCGGAATCCGGCGGGAAAAAAAAAGTTTTTGAAAAAAAAAATTTTGCGTCAAAATTGAATAATTTGTGAAATTTGGGGTCAAATTGAGGTTAAATAAAGTTAAGGATGAAATTGTAGCATATTAAAGTATGAGGGGTTATTTTAGTCATTTACAAAAATCTGGACCATGTGTGAACTTATTGGTAAAGGAGTTTTTTATCTTGATCTCTTTATAAATAAGTATCTATCTATTGATGGACTTATTTGTAAAGACCTCTTAAAAATTTACGAAAGTTTTCAGAACTTTTTAGAAATGTTAAAACTCATGTCATTTACTAAATTTCCATAGCTTTTGGAATTGGAATGATTTTCTAGATTCTAAAAAAAATTTGAATTATAATTTAAATTACTTTTGTACTAAAAAAAAGAATGGAAATTTTCAGTGTTTTGATCAGTTACATTCAAAATATTCACCCCTAATTGCTTATCAATAATGTAAGTAACAAAATAATTATGTTTTCAAATTAAAGTAACATTATAGCATCATGGATTCAATTTGAAGTAACGAGTTAATAGCATAGAACCCCTTGTATAATTTTGAATTGTCGAAAAACATATTAAAAGAATTTAGCAAATATCCCCATATGTTGTGTTTTATACAACACACCGTCCCTTATTTCATATTTAGCTATTGACTTAGAGAAACTGATAAAACTATCACAGCAATTTTTTTTAATAATATTTTAATTTAAACAAATAAAATGAAACACATATTAAATTTAAAAAAAAAAATAAAAAAAAATCACCCTAATTCGGCGGAGAAAAGCAGGGGCTGCTTTCTTCATTTTTTTGGTGATTTATGAATTGTTTGATAATGAAGATGGCAGGCATGCAGATATGAAGAAGATGGCTTTTTCGAAAATGAAAAGGTCTGAATTAAAAATGCTGAAATGCAAGGTACGAATCGACCTCGCATTCAAGGCAAGACGCCATCAGTATGACCGCGTTCGCAAAAACTCGGGGCTAGAAATGGCCTCCCACAAAACAAGAGCCTTGTTAAACAGAAGAATATATATATATATATATATATATATATATATATATATATATATATATATATATATATATATATATATATATATATATATATATATATATATATTCAAGTAGCGAGCATGAGTTCAAAAACAAAACAAATAAAACAAACTCACCGCGACTAGTGGACGAACTGGGGCGAGTAGGTTGGTCCGATTTTTTCACCTCGTCAAAGCATTTCGAGCGATTAGTTCGCCACGACTAGTTATAACACAGTTCTCGCAACGAACTCGGGGGAGTAGGTGATCTGGGCCGATTTGCCCAGGCCCAAACACGGTAAAAGCCCAAACTTAGCAAAGGCCCAGCATCTACCCCTTTCTCTCGTCGCATAGATAGTGAGAAATTGCAAAATTACCCTACTTCCCCAATTTGTAACATGATTTGAATTTCTTAAAATTAAAAAAAAAAATTAATAAATAAAAAAATAAACTTCCTTTGCTAGTTTAAACAAACCATTTCAAAACACTTGCATGAGAGATTCTGTACAAACTCATTCAATTTGGATTCTTATATATATATAGACTATATATATACAGGCTGACAGTAAAAAGAATCCATGGGTACTGCTAGAATATGATCATTTGCTACAACGGAATTTATCGATATAAACCTAAAGCAGCTCCACGGATTCGTCGTCGGAAAAATAATCCAAAATTGAACCTTTTTTCATTCTGGCTTCAGATCTGCAGCAACATTAAATTAAAAAATAAATAAAAAAAAAAGGTCAGAATCAACAAACAAACTCGAGAATATTTAAAAACTTAAATTTGTTCGTTATATTTTGCAGCCAACGTATGCCTAGCCATAATTAGGACATACATGAAGGAAACCAGAAGTTCCGGAAAGTATTACCATTAAAAAAATGAATCATATAACACTAAAATGAATCGATAATTGATCATATAACAGCAAATCATATAGCGTTAGCCATTATTTGTTCAAAAGACATGCCTCTCGATTCAAAAAACATGCCTCTCGATAAACAAAATCATACAATCTCGAGTCTAGTGCATGACTCGGCAAATCTTCACAATAGTTTATAAAGAATGATGTACGGAAACAAAGAAAGTACCTAAAAATCACATTCCCATGAAGAAACTCACACACATACACACACACACACACGGCTAAAGGAGAAATACCATAAGCTGTCAAAAAGTTATCCACGCATATACTGTATATAAATTCATATATCCACTGAACAAGTAAACACGAAAACTGGCAGACGATTCAAGCATAAGTTTCAGCCACCTCAGTAAATCAAAATTTCGAGAGGTGGCAATTGGCAAATAATGATTTTACGATAACTTACAAGTGGGTCCACAGATAATGTATTCATCACCAAAATATGTTTTTTTTTATATTAAGATATGGAAAAATAATAAATTGATTAAGGATTTAGCGGCGAAAATACAGCTTGTGCTAGGGTTTCAATTAAAGATCTTAAAAACACACAGAATCTTACGGAAAAACACAGCCACATGCTGCTGCCACGTTTCGAAAGAAAATAACGGAAAGCTGAAAATGCATTCCATGATTCGGCTTCATACACGTGTAAGGAAAATATGATGCAAGAATACTAATAATGAGTGAAACTACACGAGTCGCTTTCGGAATAAAACATATAAAGTAAACAAGAATCTATGAATTATAAATGCAACTGGAATTTGACCTTTCTTCAATGAATTTAACCGCTTTCAATTATGTCGGTAACGAACTAGGATCGGTTGCATTAAAAATTAAAATTTGCTTACAAACTCATGCACGTAAATGCCAAGGATATTATAGTCAAATGTGGAAAGTTAGAACACGAGTAGATATACGAATGTTACGAACCATCGGACAAGAAAAAGTAAACGATAAATCGAACTCAAAACGAATCGCAAAAAAGGAAAGAAATTTAAAATATACCTAGTTGCAGATGGCCATTTTCCCCATCAACTCATCAGCAACACCATAATCGACACTGATCTCCCTCATCGGAGGAATATTCTCGCTCGCAAACAGCATCAAATGAGGAAAATAAACATTATTGTGATCGAACAGCACATACTGAACGAACACATTAGGGCTTGAGCTGTGGCTCATATAGCAAGCCAAGTTCCTAAATCTCGACACATCCATGGCAAAGTCCAAAGGCGGGACCGACGGATGAGCTGGCAGAACATAGTCCGAGAATATCTGAGACAAATCACCCCATTCTTTCCATCTCTCAGCAAATCGACTAGGGTGAACCAAATTATCGCCGTTCATCGAGACTAACTCAGCTTGTTCGCGTGTAAGAACAATCCCGGCGTACTCGCAAATAAACGAGCCAGCCTGGATCAAGTCCAACGACCTCACCCCCCACCCTGTCTCGTTTGACCTAAACACTTCGAACCGATTCTTGACCCCCTTTTGCGAAACGCGGTTCTTGCAAGTTGGGGGGCAACGGCAGTGGGGCCCACACTCGAAAACCAATGGCTTCCCCCTTACGAGAATCCCATGTGTGTCGTACGCGAGTTCTCCTCCATTTTTCATGGCGCAGAAACAACCGTACGAACACCCTCCGATGCAGTCGCATCCATTGCCACTGCTCGCGCTAGTGTACACGTGTGGTGGGAAAACGGTTGTTTTAAGATATTCATAATCGAGAGGCTCATGATCACGATCGATATCATTAAATAAAAACACCGGAAAGTTCTCTTTTTTATTCGAAAGATCGAATGTGAGGTACCCTCTAGGCCTTACTTCAAGTGGGTTCGATCGTAACTTCGCAGCAAATTTCATTATTGCACTACCCATTTCAGCCTGATTTTCGATCCTAACTAGCTTGAATTTAAAAACCCCGAATCCGGATCTGCCCACATCGAACCAAGTCTCGATTATTCTATACAACCCGTCGTAAACGTAAAACTTTGCCATTATTAATGCTACCTTCGTATTTAAAGCCGCGGATAAACCCTAAACCTCGACACCGTAATTCATGCTCCTACTCCATGGCTAAATTTCCACATTCCAATTTCTGGTGCGTAAACTGTCGGTTGTTTTTGTCCTGCCCGCCATGCCCCGTATATACGATCACATCGCCTGCATCTTCATCGTCTTCGTAACCGCCGGAGACAATAATGCTGGTGGCGATCGGGTCGCCGTTGGAGCTCTGGCTGGCGGGTACGTAATCGATTCCAGCCTGGGGGTGGCCGTGCATTCCGACGACGACGAGTTCCATCCGGAAGAAGAAGACGTCGCCAACTGAAATGCCCGGGATATCTCCCACGATTCTTTTGTCGCGGTTCAGCCATTGGCCGCCGTGCCTCATGAAGGCGGAGGCTTTCAGATCGCCTCGGGTTCGCCGGTGGGGGGCGGCGTTATCGGAGTGGCGCTCGTCCTCGGCGACGGAGAATGCGCGCAGCGAGTCGAACAGCATCCGGGTTCTTCGGATTAGGTCACGGAAGAAGAGGCGGTCCTCGGGTTTTAGATCCGTGACCCGGACCATCTCGGAGGATCGGCTCGGGTATTTACGGCCGCCGCGCGGCGTGACGACGGCGTCGGATACCTGGGTTTCGGGGTTCGGCACGGTGACTATGGCGCGTGAGTCGGTATCAGTGTCGAAATCGGGCAAGACGGCAACATCTCCGTACTCCTGGAGTTGTGCGCCTAAGGCGTCGTTGAACATCTTAGAAAGGCGGTGTAAGTGGGAGAGCACGTCACCTTCGGAAGGATTGCTCTTGGCTGTGGCAGTGGCGGTGGCGGAGGCGGAGACGGCGGGAGGAGGAGCGGGGGCGGGGGCGGGGGCGGGGGCGGGGATGGGGATGGGGATTTCGAACCCCGGGGGCGGGCCGAGGGAGGGGGCGAGGAATTCGAACCCCGGCGGCGGTGATACCCGTGTGAATTCATCTACGGGTTCAGGTTTGGGTTCAATTTTGGGAGTGATTAGGGTGGTGGCGGTGGCGGTGGCGGTGGCGGCGGCGGTGGTGGGTGGTTGTAGATATAGGCTCAGTTCTAGGTTTTGAAATGGCAAGATACCATTAGACTCCATTTTCAGATTTCTTTACCCTTTTCAAAAGAAATGAAGATCCAACCAAAAAAATATAAAATTAAAAATAAAAAGAAAAAAGAAATTGAGTGTGTGTGCGCTGTGTGTTTTCGGAGAGAAGAACCCGTGAAAGAAAAATGGAGGAGAGAGAAATAATTACTCTTGTCTGTAAGAAAAAAAACTGAGATACCGAGGCGAACTGGAGTTGGTGGTGGCGTGTGAAATGACTATATAGCCCTCGTTTGACTTTCTTTTGTAGTATGTTTTCTGGATAAACTTTAGGATTCTATTATGGTAATTACACCCAAAATTTACCGGGGGCAATTTATAATCTGCTAGTGGGAATTTACGATTCACCTCACAGAATTTATCCCCAAATTTCATCGCTGTATCAATCATGAATATGATTAAGAGGTCGTGAATAATATCAATTAAATGGTTTTAGTTGCTTTTAGGGGTGTTCATTGATAAGATATACCCACTAAATTTGAATCGAATCGAAAAAACCGAATTTAGAATGTCTAGAATCCAATCGTACTAAATAGTTCATTTTCGAAAATGGTACGGATTTTTCTTATACCGAAATCTTCGTACGGACGTCGAGTCGCTTGAGTAATTAATATCGGTACCGTAGGTATAAATATGAGATAAACAATGGTGTTGTTGAGAGTATGTATATAGATTCTAATCATTAATCACAAGTAATGGTGCCAAAATTTCAAACCATCAAGACCTCCTACTCATTTAGTCGTCGGAAAGCTCACCACACATCGGATTTAGGGCCGACGGCAATAAAGCGGTGGACACATGTCGGATTTATGGCCCATGGCAATAAAGCAGTGGACGGAATATAGTAAAGTGGAGAAAGTTTAAGAAGAGCGTATTATTAATAATGTAAACGTAACTCTAACTAAGGTTTGTACATGGATATTTATAGAAGAATTCACCTAGTTATTTCCTTCTTTAAACATACGTGTATCTAACTAATATCTCCCATAATATACGCTCCTTTGAATAATTCGATCTTTATCTTCTTTCTTTTTCTCCCTATGCAAGAAATCTTCCAGTGCATGCTTTCATTTGAATAATTCGATCTTTATTTTCTCTCTTTTTCTCCCTATGCAAGAAATCTTCGAGTACATGCTTTCAACGGCTCCAACATACTGATCACTGCTTATTACGCGACATCCTCCTATCAAGGCGAGCAGATGTTACAACGGCGATCTCTCAATGGGGCGAACAAGAGACACCTCAGCGACCTCTTTCTTCAAACGAACCTCATGGCCCATATTCGGGGGCTTTTTGGGCCTTCAATCCACCAGACTCACCTGGCACAAACCAACACTACTTAGTAGGCCCATTTCTAGGGAGTTCGACCTAAATTTACCAAACTAACCTTCAACATTCAAATTTACTTAAGTCGCATTTTTAAACCTTGATTAGACTTATTGATTAAGTTTGATATGATTATTTATAAAGTATTTTTTTTTCCTTTATCTATATAATTTTAGCTCACAATAATTAAAAATAAAAGAAACAATTTTAATTAATTTCAGAAAGACGGAATTTTAGATAGCTCGGCCCGGACGAACGTATTCAGCCTTGGGCTCAAACAATGGACTTAGTTCTTAATAAAAAAAGCCCAATTATGGCCCAACATGCTCAGGTCGAGAGAGTATGCTTCACAATTCGTATTTTTGGTGAAACCGAATCGAATCGAAAATTCGCTACATCTCAAATACCGAATCAAAAATTGGGATTCCAGTATTCGGTGTAGTGTACAGTATTGATGTCCAGTATACCGAACCGTACCGAATACCGAAATATTTAATAAATATTTATTTTTTCTTTATTTTAAATAATAACAAATTATAAAATACTTTTAGATTGATATTTTATTCAATTATTTACAAATTAGCATTTATTGGTAATCACTTTTTATTTTTAGTGTCCATTATTGAAACTTGAATGTCAAAATCAAGAATTAATTTGTTTCAATATAAATTTTTTTACATTTTTTAAAATATTAATCGGTAACCTAAAAAAATTAATTAATTCGATGAAAAACCGTATCGAAAATCTAATACGACTTCCAGAAAATAGTTCGGTATGGTTAGACAGTACAAATTTTCGGAGGCCGAAATTTCGATCTACGAAAATCGAAATTCCAGTACGGTTCAGTTTAATAACTTTTAGTATGTGATTTAACAAACCCGCTATTTGAAATAGAAGTAATTTAAACAATTATATTTAAATTGGACAAAATATGAATATTCATATAAATATAAAATAATGTAAATTCAGAGCGCACACGTGCTCTACACAATCCAACTGACACTACACCGTGCTTTTCATTACTTGCTGTGTGTAATAAATAATAAATACGGTGATTAATTTAAACAACCAGAATTTGTGTCGAAGTTATCTTCAATTCTGGATATAGATATAGAGAGATATACACACGCCGCTCGCTCGCACAACTTACAAACCGAAGAGAAGATCCTAGATTACAATACGTACACCAAGAACTCGACACGTGTCTCTACACATGTAAACCCCTAAACCCACATGCACGCCACGTTTTACTCCCACCAAACCCCTATATAATTTCATTATTCTCCATTTTTTGGCAATTCCTACGACATCACATTTTCCGTGTTAATTCAGATCGACGCAGAGAAGAATCGAAAAACGTTTATCGCTTTTGATTTTCAAGGGAAAAAAAGAGAGAAGAAAATGGCGAGAACTGTGGCGAGAACAATGGCGGCGCCGTTGCTTTTCCTGAATTTGATTATGTATTTAATTGTGCTGGGTTTCGCTAGTTGGTGCTTAAATCGCTATATCAATGGCCAGACATCTCATCCTAGTAATTAGTTCTTATTACATTTATATATATATATATGTTCTTTCTTACAGTGCATGGTTCCAACGTTGTTGTATGTATGTATGTATTGTACAGGTATGGGAGGAAACGGGGCGACGGGGCATTTTCTGACGTTCGCGATACTGGCAGCTGTTCTTGGTATAGTATCAAAGATCGCCGGCGGCAGCCACCTCAGGGCGTGGCGGAATGACAGCCTTGCCGCCGCCGGCTCCTCCTCCATAGTCGCCTGGGCTGTAACCGCACTCGCCTTCGGGTAAATCTCTTAACACACACACACACACACGCACGCACGCACGCACGTAGGTACAGTATATATGGTTTTGCAACACGTACTGAATAATTTGGATTAATAATGACAGATTGGCGTGCAAGGAGATAAACATAGGAGGGTGGCGGGGATGGAGGCTGAGGGTGGTGGAGGGTTTCATCATCGTTCTCGGTGTGACGCAGTTCCTGTACGTAATGATGCTGCATGCCGGGTTTTTCAGCAGCAGATACGGGCCGGGTTATAGGGACCCGGATTATGGAGTTGGTGGACCCGGGGCGGAGCGGCCCAAGGGTGTGACGGGTACTGGAGTCGGAGTTTAATTAAACCCGGTTTATAATATGGATATATATATATATATATATTAGCTAGGGTAGCTAGTGAGAATAACACATCTTTTAATTTGGTTAATACTTTTTATGTATGAAGCCTGAATTGTACTGCTGCATGTTTTTTCTGTTGTCGTTTTGTTCTTTATTGTCTGTCGTTTTAGTTATGCCTGCCTGGTGCGGTTTTATTGACCTAAGTTTGACCAGTTGATATATTGTTGTTGATTTGAGCTCGAGTTAAGTATGGTATTCGGCCCAGGTTTAATATTGTTAATCGAAGCCCACCTAGGCCCATCAGCCTTGTTAATGCGGAAATGACCATTTCGCCCTCATTTTATGGCTGTTCTTCCATCTCGTTGGGGGGCAAAATCGTTATTCGAGTCTTAACTACTAAATTTGCGGAATGACAATTTAGACATTTTAGAACAACCAAATTTGGTGGTAATTTTGACAAAGACATACGAATATCAACTTGCAAAATTTCACGATGCAATCTCAATTTAGTAACTCGATCGGTTCGGTTTTACACCAAACGGACAAACGACTGTGACACGATTAGACCGACTCATTGGAGGTTCAACTTTGACCTTCTTTTTATATTTCCTTATTGTTGATTTTAAATGCCTATGAATATCTACTCATTTCGACTATGTGTTACGACATTAGGTGTTGGAACATAATTCTTACAAAATTCTTACAACACAGTAATAAACTTACTAAAAGTAGAATAAAGAACACAAGAATTTAATGTCGTTCATATATAAATGTACTCTACATTCACGAGGACTTGCAAAAATTAGTTCAGATTTAAGTGTACATTAATAGGACTTAATAAAAACACTAAAGACTCCCTCTTTATGTAATATGTCGTTCTTGCACACGACTCGAACTTGTTGATAATCAAAGCAATTCCTCCATCCGCACTCTTGGACTTGTTGAACTCCCTTCAAACGGTGGATCGACCTCCCGAGATCTTTTAAGCCCGAAACGCCGATCTTCTTTATGGCCTGGTAGAAGAAACCTGTTATGTTGCCACACGGCCCACACCTGATGTGCCGACGGGGCTGCAGCACGGGCTGCACCCTTCAAAGCCTTTATGCTGGGATTTTTCTTATTAAAGCTCCATGGGACTCATATGAGGTTGATGGCCTTATATAGGCACGAAATCACCGTACCACCATAAACCTAACTTGGGCCCTAAAAAATCGATTTAACTAGGTAATAGAATCCTAGTCGATTTCTACTTCTATTCTAGATAAGTACAAAAGATATCTAATTAGAATATAATACATGGAAATAAATCTAAGTCATAATAACAATATTACAAAAATAGGACTCTAATTAATTCCAAAATAAACATGGAAAACAAATATTTGCCAATCTTTAATTTCCACGTATGGCGGATTTCTTCAATCTTCACTAACAGAAATCTGGCGCCAACACTTATAATCTTAAATCCTAACTGTTGGGAATTTTATTTATTAGAATAAAATTATTTTTTGAATGAAAATTTAAAAATATTTTTAGGCACCTATTTGATGAAATAGGTGTGACAATATAAAGAGTGTGTGGTCACACCTCTTCACTTGTTTAATTTCCTAATTAAGGGTTGTGTTCATTAATCACAACCATTGGAAACTTATAAATAGAAACTCCACATGTTTGATTTAATAACAACATAAAAATCAATTCAATTCTATAATTTTGTTCTATGAAATTCTTCTTTCTTTAGCCCGAAAATATTCTTCATAGAATATTTTCTTCCGTATTCGATTCGAGAGTTTGAGACACAAAGTAACGTTCGTTGTACGTACTCGGTATTTTGAGTGCTCATATGCCGAGTTAGCCGTTGTATCTTGGGAGACCATTGCCAAATAACCGTAAGCACCGTAGCGGGGCAATATTGTCTTAAGGAAATAGTATTCTCGCCTCGACTAATCTTTTCGTATTTTCACTAATTAATTTGTTCGACCATTTTACTAAATTCACTACCCGTTTTATATATCGGGAACAACACTAACTAAACAAGAAAACAACAAATTGTAACAAATAAAGCTTTGAGATTCTTCTAGTATTCTAACTACTTCAAATCTAAGACTAACGAAACTCGGATTCGATTTTTTCGAACTTGGGAAATGGGAATCATCCTTCCTCCATTGTAATAACGTGGTAGTTTTTTCTTCTTTTACTCGCCACCTACAAAAAAATCGCTAGGATAAAGGCAACTACTAATTTTTTGGATAGTAACATTCAAATGTATCTCAGTACATTATTGTGAAGTAAAATTGTTTTTATGCAACTTTTCTTGTATTGATGAGAAGAAAATACCCTAATGATCTGATCTTCATAATGAAACTTAATCAAATCTTAGATTGTGATTAAGTTAAATATCTCCCTAATCTTTTCATAAGCTTCTTTCGGTTGTTGACTCTCTTTCTGCTTTCCAACCCAAGTCAATCTTTTTGAGCAATTATTTGGAGTTGGGACTAATAAAGTAATAATTAATAAGATATTTATTAATTACTTCAAAATTACTTATTATATATTTTTCCCCTTAAAAAAAAGATGGTTATGTTTTCCTACCAAATCAATCTTGAAGCACAGTCAAATGTTATAATTAGACTTGCTATGGAAATAACCAACATTTGATAGTGCTTTTCCTTCTAAAAGCGCTTATACACGAGTTGCACTTTATAAGTTGCTACTTTTTTTTAGCGCTTCTGTGTTTACCTAATTTCTTTTCGTGAGATTAGGACAGGATTAGGACATTGTTCCGTCAATTGACCTAAGTTCGAATCATCTTATCCCGTCAATTGGTCTAAGTTCGAATTTTCTTGTCAACAGTTGCTAGATCGAGTTGGTCACTGATGGTTGTTGGCCTAGTGTGGTTCACGTCTCTCGTATGCCATGCAATCTATTATACGAGAGTGTAAGTTTACATAGTGCATTTAAATAGTTGGTTGAGGATTCCTTCATTACAAATGAAAAAAAAAAAAGGAAGAAAAATTGCGTATAATTATTATTTTGGTAGTTTTTCATTAATTGTGTTTTTTTCCGACTATCGCAAAAATTTCAATTTTGGAACAGTCTCTTTCTTCCAATTTTCGACAATCCAATTTTCAATATTCCGATTTCTTTTAACTGAGTCGTAATTAGTTTTTTCACTTTCGGAAAACAAATTACAATTTTTCGATATTCCGTTTTTATTAACCTAATCGTAAATAATTTTTCACTTCGGAAAAAAAAAAATTAGAAATTTTCAGAAAGTATCTATCGGAGTACGTTCAAAAGATGGCAGAAAAAACTCAACGCCGTTAATTTTGATCACACACTCCGTGCAACTGTAGACTTTAGATCGAAAATGACTACCCAAATAAACATTTAATAAATATCAGTGTCACAATGGAGTCAAGATATTATCACAAGTTAATCTAATAAAATAATTATTCTGATCTTAACGCTTAATTTATCATTATTTTATTATTCTTTTTACCTGCATTATTGATAGTTACAAGCAAAAAAAAAAAAAAAAAAAAAAAAAAAACACACACACAGCAGATTGGTAGTCAAAAGAAAGTCGCGGTTCAAAATCGCGTTAAATGCACTGAACCGATGAAACGACGACTGGAATTCAAACCGGCCTTTAAAAAGAGTCAACACGTGCAAGATCACAAACTTTAATGGTCTGGTCAACAAAGATTATGCATGCATGGCTATTTGGAAATCTTGGTCAAATTTTCTTCTACCAGTATCTTGGAATATTGTTTAGTCATTTTAAATCTTATTTTGATTTTGCAGGCAATTATTATTTATTACTTAGTGATTATTATTAAATTAGAAAAAAAAAATGGTTCTTTTTAATTTTCTAAAATTGTTACAGTAGCGGAGGCAACATAGAGTTAGGAGTTATAGCCCCCAATATTTCTCAAATCCCTATTGGGTCCATTAGATATACACCCCTCATATGGAAAATATATAGGGATAGATCCACCCCTAAAAATCTTCCTTTGAGATACCCCTGTAGAAGCAAAAGTACTATTGTGCCCTTATTTGTAATTTTCGCCCAACTGCATTCAGCATTTTGACCTACTGCATTTATCATTTTGGACCTGCATTTCGTATTTTGTACTGCATATATCATCATTTTTATTTTTAATTATTTTTTTATTACTCTATATATATTGTACCTTTTTTATTATCATTGTATTATTTTATAAAATAACTTTTTTAATATTTTGATTTTTTAATATTTTGATTTTTTTAATTTTTCGATTTTTTTAATTTTTCCGATTTTTTACATTTTTAATTTTTTTTTTTTATAAATTCAAATTTTGGTAAAATTACTGAACTTAAAGTATACTACACATGACTACAGTTTACTACAAGTTCAATAGTCCTGTATAGTTATATGTAGTCATGTACTGTCTTTTACCTCAAAATTCA